TTCAACATGTTTGTTTGTTTGGTTGTAGCACAAGTACGTTTGTCAACTCTAAAGAGAACAGTAAATAAAAATAAACTATTGGCGACGAGTTAATTCATAGAATTCTAATTGGTCCCCTCTGGTTGATATTAAATTGTAGTTCTTCTTCATCTTCTAGTGGCAAAACCAAAATATCCTGGAGTTGGAATAGATTGGATGCCGGCCATCTTCCAGATCCCGAACTCTAGCTTTATGACGTATTGTTTACTATTACGTAACGTCAAAATTCCGTTGGCCTTTGGGCCTCACGGTGGCACTCAGAGGTAGTGTTTTTGAATAGGCCGGATAGGCCGTATGGCAGAGAAAAGGTTAAACACCAGAACGTTTCACATCTTTTAGCGCTAATACATGTATGTCCTAAATGACATCAATAAAAGAGGGGCGAAAGATACCAGAGGGACAGTCAAACTCATAGATCGAAAATAAACTGACAACGCCATGGCTAAAAATGAAAAAGACAAACAGACAAATAATAGTACACATGACACAACATAGAAAACTAAAGACTAATCAACACGAACCCCACCAAAAACTGGGGGTGATCTCAGGTGTTCCGGAAGGGTAAGCAGATCCTGCTCCACATGTGGCACCCGTCGTGTTGCTCATGTTATTACAAACCCGGTAAATAGACTAATTTGGTAGGTCACATTCATGAAAAGGGAAGGGGATTGTAGTTACGACGTAAGGAACATATCCGATATCATCTGTGCATCGGTTATTCCATAACGGTCAACCAACTCGTGATGGCGTCCGTAAAATTTACGAAGGGATGATTTCAACTTCACCATTTGGAACTCTTGGTTTAATAGCTTCCTTGTGAGCAGCAACCCTCTATCAAGGAAATCATGATAGGAAATATAAGCACGGGAATCTCGTATCAATTGGGAGATATATGCTCCGTATGCAGGCGCTGCTGAAATGTTGCTACTTAGAAATGGAAAGTTCACAATTGGGAAGCTGAAATCATCTCTTTTGTCGTAAAGTTTTGTTTTCAACCGACTCTCATTGTCAATTTGTTTATGTAAGTCAAGATATGAGGCCGACTTAACTGTATCTGTTGTATCCTTTATCTTCGTTAGTGAGAGAACATCATCTATATATCGGAAAGTAAAGTTAAAGGCTCTTTTTGGGAAAAAAAATGGTTGATCATATAGGGAATCACTGAAGGTTGATTATATAGGGAATCGGAAATTGTTGAAGAATTGTTAATTAATACGGATCAAGGAAACTACTCTGGAGTTGTATTCTTAGATTTAAAAAAAAAGCGTTTGATATTGTAAATCACTCAATTCAATTATCAAAATTAAAACTGTTTAAGTTTGATTCTATTTCTTTTGAATGATTCAAATCATATATATCAAACAGGTCTCAAAAAGTAAAAATAAATAACAACATATCTTCAGGAAAGTAACATTTGGTGTACCGCAGGGCAATATTCTAGGACCTTTATTATTTCTTTTATATATTAATGATCTCCCACTACAACTTAATCATACAAAGCCTGATTTGTATGCTGACGACACAACTCTTAAATACTCTTCAAATTCCTTTGATGATATATGTGATAAACTTAATGACGAAATAGCAACTTTTAAAATATGGTGTGAAAATAATGATATGATTCTTAATATTAAAAAATCCAAATCTGATTGTCTTTCATGGAATCCACAAATAAACAAAGTATGTAATGTAATTTCAACTAGACTATGTTTACTAAATCGGTTGAAGCATTATATTCCGCAAAAAAGTTTATGTTTATTTTATAATGGATATGTACTTCCTCTCTTTGATTGTTGCTGTACAATATGGACAGAAACAAGTAATCTAAATATGAAAAAAATGTTAGAATTACAAAAAAGGGCAGCCAGAATCATTCTTAACAAAGCATATGACACACCGTCAAAAACTTTATTCAAACAATTAGGATGGTTAACTTTTCAAAAAAGAATCATATATATCACAAAAGAGTATTTATTTAATGTATAAGTGTGTAAATAGTATTGCACCTGATTATCTTTGTCAATTATTGAACAATAACCAAAATGTTAATGCAAGATATTCTTTGCGTTCATCGGACAATAATTGTCTTTTCATATCACGTCCGATAACAAATTCTATGAAAAAGACATTTCAATATTCCGGTACTGTTCTTTGAAACAAAACTGTATTCCTGTAGAAATCAAAAAGATAGAAAAGATAGAACAGTTCAAACAAAGGTTTTATAATATATTGTTTCTAAACTGAAAATGTAATTATTATGAAATTTATCTATATTCTAAAAAATCCAAATATTTGTCTTGAAAATCATTAACAAAATATGTTCATGAAACGATTCTGTGTGTTTTTCTCCATTTGTTTTGCATAAAAAGCTGTATGTATGTATGTATATTTATATGTTACATTATTGTTATATTTTGAGTTATTCAGAGGGCATCAGGGGAGATTAGTATTGTACTAACTAAGTTTACCCTCTTTAAATAAAGTATTTATATTATTTTTATTTTATGCATGACTGCAACCCGAGGCCGTTTCAAATACAAGTTTACTAATAATCTGTAATCCATCAACATGTTTATACCGCAGGAATTATACATGTACTTATACGCGTTAGCACTGTCTTTATGTAACGTCATATTCTAATAATTTTGGCGGGAAGAGGCTCATGAGGGCATATAAGGAATATCCAAAATGGCAAATACCACGGCATAGAGGGGAATTTGAGACAAATTCACCGGCAGTGGTGAAAAACATGCAAATTCGATTGAAACGAGAAAAAGGTTAGAATATGCGAAAAATACACTGGCTACCAACCAATCAAAATCCGGCATTCTCATATAAGGTATAATTAATAAAAAAAAAAATGGACACGTTTAGGCGTTTATACAAATGACAAGCTTTGGTGCACTTTTACATTAGGACATGTTTTGCAATTCAGTAACGTCATGTGGACACGTTTGGAGGTATCGGACACGTTTGGGTGGAAGGACACGGTCCTGAGTGTTGCATATATATTTCATAATTTTTTGCCAGTCTAGGCACATCTCCAGAGTCGTGTATGTATATTTGAAAAAGTTTTAATTTTCAACAAGGAAAGTGAACAAAATTTTAAAAGCATGGGTGTATAAAGCACACTGTTAAAGTAGAACAACATCATTTCCCCTGAAACTAAATATTTATCGCATTTTTAAATCAATCAATATCTAAATACACCATATTTCCAATACTTTATCAACAACCCCATGCACACCTTTTACCTTAAATAAGGAAAGATCGAAGCAGTCCACAGCTTTTTAGAGAGCTAAAACTTGTGATTTTCTTAATTTTCTATATCATTGATGCGTTTTGTTTTAATCTGTGTCAAAACAAGCGTTTACCAGAACGTAATAGGTGTTTGCACATAACGTGATAGGCGTTTGTCATTAACGTAATAGGTGTTTGTACATAACGTAATAGGTGTTTGCACAAATGTCTTTGTATATATTTAAACTTTACTGTTTTGTCCATTTAGACTAAATTAAATCTACTTCTTTTGATGTGGCTCGGCATTTATTCATCCCGCCATTGTGTTATTGTGCTAAGGTCATTTTTTTTTTATTCTTGTCTTTCATTTTTACTTTTTCTGTAGAGTGTCTTTATGCAATATCGTTTTTCATTATTGAAATATTTATTTGTTTTTCTAGTGATTAACATTACAACATAATGTTGACTGCTGTACCCCAATTTTCGACATTTTTACCTAATTCAATGTATATGTATGTCTGCTTGTTTTGCTAACACATTGTAGTCAATATAATGGAATTCTATGCGACTGTTAAACAAATGGGATGTTTAGCTAGCTAGAAAACCAGATTTAACCCACGGTTTTTTACATAACAAAACACCTGTTCCAAGTTCGGAATATGACAGTTGTTTTTCCATTCGTTTAATTTGTTTGAACTTTTGATTTTGCCATTTGATAAAGGGTTTTTCGTTATGAATTTTCCTTAGAGTACGGTATTTTTGTTATTTTAGCATACTTTTTTAAATTTTATACCAGAGTTTTTGACAAAAGATATATTTGTTATTGTTTGATTATTTCTGCTAATAGATATATCTTTGGATAAAAACCAAGTATAAACTATAGTTTGTAGCAACAAAAAAAATATTTCTTTTGTTTGCATTTAAGTTCTGAACAGTTTGTTCCTTAGAACTGTACACGATCCTGTCTTTCTGTACTGTTAATGTTGTTGCTGTTTATCAGAGTGACCGACAGCATGGTTTCATATCAGTATGAACGTCAAGTAATTGCATGTATATTTTGATACGTTTATCATTTCTTTGTTTGCTCTTGATAAGAGCATTTGCATTATTCACGTATTTGCTGGCGTATCCGTATCGACGTATCGTATCAAACTTATATGAGGAAAGGATAAATTAAGTCGAGTTGGTCCCGATGGATATATTTATAATGCATTTGATTTTAATTTAATTTTAATAGAGGTCTGGGCTAAAGCATTATTTTATACAAATCCGCCCGATACGTAGACTTCGATCCGTGCACGTATCAAGATATAGAATAATGCAAATGCTCTAATAGTCAGTTTCCATAAATACGTTATTGCAGAGTAAATCATCAGCTTTTACTTCGCCACATGTGTTATTAAGAGTACACACAGTTACTGAAAACTAGTTTAGAGCCAAACGTCAACTAATAAACAAACTGCTGTTTCCCATACTTAGATCACAACCAGTTTATTTCGAATTTCTCTATTTTCTATTTAAAAACCACAATTTTTAAACAAAGAACTCTTTGATCTAATCAAATTAAAGAGAATCGATTTAGAATTTTAAATATAATGACCACTTCGTCTTCACTGATCATTTTATACAATTTCCAAAAATCAAATTTACATAAAGAAAAATGGTTGTTTGTTTATCTTACAATGATAAATCATAGATAACAGAATTACAATCGTCTATACCTGACACGTTGTATTATACATGTTAAGGCCGTTTTGATTCATATTCAGCAAACAGGACTTTCTTGCTCAATTTTTTAATTACAATGATAGACCAATATCTCGCTATTTAAGTGTTCAACATAATTTGAAATGAAAAGCTTGGAAAAATCTGTACTGAAAGCAAAGCCATATGGTTCAGTCAACCCATCTTCTGTTGTCAACATGGTTTTAAGAGATGTATCTTCAATACAAAACAGCTTAAAGTTTGATGTCCTTTCCAGTACGTATACATTTCCAAATTTGTCTGCTTTGATATCGATCGTGCGATTAGTAAATTGAGAAGAAATAGATGTAACTGTTCCATCATCTAATCTCACGCATCTAAATTTTTATTCTGATATATCCGACTGAGCAAAATGAAGTTGATGATTTAGTCCAACTGATATAGAGTGTATATCACCTCCTTCGACATCAAGTGTCTTCTTTAGGTCACCAATTTTGCTGATAATGTATATCTTGCCGTCACCACTGACAGCAATTTCGTCGCCAAAAAGTACAATGCCATAACATTTTCCAGGTACTTTTATCTGTCGGCCCTTTTCCATTTTAATGATATCTACTGTCTGAACGCATGATGTATCAGGAACTGTGACCCATGCTGTATTTTTTGTCTTCTTCAATAGCTATCCCCCATTGACACCCGTTCATTTGAATTTTCGTCAATTGTTGGCCTGAAATAACAAATAACTTAGAACCGCTCTGATTACACAGGAATAATCTTTTGTCTTTTGTCACACCTATGCTGACAATGTCTGCATCAGGTACCGCAAATTTTGTAATTAGCTGGAATTGTGTTGGAAGTTTTCTCCGTTGTTGCAGGAATTGCGCTTGCTGGACCTTAAACGGTTTGTATTTGATATCAAAGGGAGTCTCTTTGATTTCCACTGAACCAAATGAATTCATAACGGACAGCAAATCGGACTCCTTATACAAAAGAGATGCAGCTTTTTGGGACGACAGGAATTTTGGAAATTCATTGACACGACCATTCAATTCTTCTTTGATATTATTTATCAACATGAATATTTGACTTTCAGATCCGTGTTTCGACACAGATTCAAACTGTTCAGAAATGTTTCGTATCTGTTTTTTGCGATCACATATCTTTTTCAGGTCAACTTTTGCTTTATCTGAGAGTTCAGTATGAACTTTGTCTACTTTACACATTAAAGCCACTGCAATTTCTTGAATGCGTGTCTGTAACCTCTTTTGAAAATACTGCACCTCTTGTTGTACAGTCACCTTGCTATCATCAAGAGTTGATACACTTTTCTCCTTTTTGTCTCCAAGCTCCATTACAGTGGAAATTAGCATGCGGACATCAGTGACAATGTCTTCATACGTTGTTGAACTTTTGACCCCTTTCGCAGCAACTTCAATTGGAAGTATCTTGTCACATGATCGATGGTCACTAGCCATACAAGACCGACAACACAGTTTATCATGATCGGAGCAAAAATATTCTAAAACCATATCGGGATGAACTTTGCAGAATTTACTTATGTTGAATCCTATTCCGTCAACTGCATTTATATCTATTACATGATGGGACGAGGACACTTTCATGCTTCCGTGAAAATCTAAACATTCTGAACAGAACCCGTCCTCGCAGTCTGTACAGTATTTTACAGCTTTGGTGGATCTACTTCTTCTGTCACAGGTTCCACAAAACATATCTATGGATTTTGCCATTTCCTTGAAAAGACAAGAAAGAATATTTAATTACTGGTCATTACTACATCAGATACCAATAATACATCTGTCCACAAATAAGTTAAGATGTCACTTTTTGTAGAATGGCCATGACTTGACTACAAGTGTTTCTTTCCACCTATTGCATTTAATTCAATATTCTGACCCAAATATTGCAGTTTAATTACATGTACCTGACCAAATTACAATTTGTTAATAATGTGGAATTCAAGTCTTGTAGTATTGTAGGTATGTTATATTATATCACTTTGTACTTTTACAGCTTTTCTCACATTTAACAACACATTTCCTTTATCACGAGTTTTTTGAATCGCTACTGTTTTGACCAGATTGCCGAAATGAATTCCCTCCTCAGTCCACATTCAGACCAAAGACAAATAGCATTATGAGGCTTTCGGGGAATGTAACGATTTAAGAAGTAATTGAGGTCTCTCTTAAAATGACAAATATTCAGAAGTATGCAAATAATTTTACAAGACAATTTTGAAGTATGAAAGAGCTACGTTATGGTTTTTAAGGGAAACAATTAGTTTCAGTTGTTGGTTCTTGATGCACTGAGAACCGCACAATGCTGTAGACAATAACAATGATGAATTGAATATAAAATACGGGCACCTGCACTTCTCTATTCAGGACGTAATCTCATTTCTAAGATGGGATGGCATCTATTGAACTGCTTTGATAAACAGTCACATCTGATCGGGGTATACTTTATGTTCGGAATGTACCACACACATTTCCACGTTGAAGACCCATTGGAATAATACTTTCGGTCTTTCATGTACACAGGTTCTGCAAAATCTTTCACTCTGCTCAGGAAGTCCTCATTTTTAGTGGTTCTTGTCGGCTCTCTGTCAATACGATAGAACTTATCAAATTGAACAAATGTTTGATTCTTATCGACCAAATTTGCATTGAAAGAAACTGAACATATGACAACAAATACCAGTTCTACGGTGAAATGAAAATCCTTTATTCGTCAGGAATCCGATCTTGTTCTTGTGATCATCCGAGTTAACAGTACAACAGTACTTTGATTTACCGTATCGTACAAGGAAGTATAATATGAACGGATTTACCTTCTGATTTTCTGTCTCGTTCTATTTACGTCTCTCCCTGGTCTTTTTTAAAGTATTTTTTTCATCTTACTCACACTAATGCTTACCTGAACTATTTTTTACACTTTGTCACCAAACTAGCTGTAATTATATATACACAGTACTACACAGTACTACATTTATACATACTTAGTTAATGGCCATTTACCTTTCAGTCGATCAATAAAAAGGTAGATAACTGGCTAGTGAATGTTTACTATGCGTATAAAACAATCTATGCCTAAATTTACTTTCAATTTTGAACATTCCAATTTAGACTTAATTTAGGTTTTAGAGTCATTGCAGTTTGGGGATAGAAACTGGGAGACATTGAAGGCAAACTAAATCATAGGGACTTGACTACAGGTCAGATATATAGCCCGTTTATCGTCTACGTGCATTAAAAAAAAACGTATGCCCCTACTATCCAAAACCTGTGTTTTTTTCTTAAATGCACGTAGACGATTAACGGGCTATATATCTGACCTCGAGTCAAGTCCCTATGGTCTATGTCAGCATTTGTCGCATAACTATAAACAGAATTTGTTTTAGATTGCCATCTTTATCATTCACCAAGATTATAATTATTGTTAATTTATTTCAGAAGTTTCCAAACCTGAGAAATATGAATAAAAATCTCTTCACATGGATCATGGCAAATGAAGATTAAGATTTTAATAAATTATTAAATAGTCTTTTATATAAAAATAAAAACCGCCCAGATGAGACAGAAAAAAAGAGATACAAGTAACATTAATTAAAAAAGTGCCGGAACTTACCAAGAGGAAATTCAAAATTATAAGTCGAAAATACACTGACAAGGCCATGTCTCAAAACGTAAGACGACGAAAACGCACACTCCAGAAAACACTATAACTGAGCAACATGAATAGCTCCAAAAACTGGGTGTAATATCAGGTGCTCTGGAAGGGTTAATATATCCTGCTCCTCTAGTGTTACCCGCCATGTTGCTCATGGTAAGTAGAAATTTTGTGATAGAGGGACTTAGGAAAGAATAAGTTTTTTAAAAGCTAACTTTTACACCCTCTGAATAGATTTTACTTACTTACTTATACAAAAATAAGGAGATGTGGTATGATAGCCAATGAGACAACTATCCACCAAAGTTTAAACGAAGTGGTTGTAAGCAATCATAGGCAGTACTTACTTACGTACCTGATAAAAACATACAACAAAGAACAACACATGGTATATGTAGTCTAATTTAGTACAGGCGCACAAAGGGGAGGGGATTACTAGCTTGGATTACCACCAGGATGACCCCCTTATTTGAAAAAAAATATATATAAGACGGCATATAATAAAGAGAGGAGGTCAAAATGTCAAAATGTCACGGTTATTACTACTACGAACCATGGTCTATTTGTTTTGTACCGTTCCTACTCTGAAGCTCATTTATTTATTTGTTATTATGCACATTGATAGAAAACCCTCCATCTTTTATCGCCAAAAAATATGAGCTGAAAATATTTCATGATTATTACAATGACATGCTTTTAAATATTCAAATCAGTGTAAACTGCATTTATGTTACTTGCACTACAATAATGCACATGTAAATAGCATTAAGAAAGGACAAATACTGACAAATCAAACACGCCTACAACAGGTTATTGAAAGTAAATGGCACATTGTCCTCATATTTTAATAAGATAGAAAACATATTTTATATGTACCGACCATTTATCTTTCTTTTTGCGGGGGAGGGGTCTAAAAACATTTGTTCTCTACTACAATCTTATATTTAAATCCCCCCTATGGAGCTCGGATCTCCATTACGGAGCTACATATATATGGTAAATGCATAGACGTAACATGTCAAACTCCTAACGTTGCCTAGTTTGTCCCCTTTCAAAATCATGGATCCGCATATGATACAGGAACACGATGTTTGCTTAAATCCCACGTTGAATTATTGTTTTATTTTATTTTTCACTTCCCCTTTGAAAATTTTTTTTCACGAAATTTACGGAATCAACCAAGTCAGACCCCCTTCCCCTAAAAAAAGGATGAATGGTCGGTGCTATAAACTGACTAAAAATTGTATCACAATGCTTGTATACTGTATACTTTTTATTGGTTCTCTGGTGGATACACCATTGTTTCCAAAAACTTTCTTGCACTTCTGCATGTGTCTGTCCCATGTCAGGGAATTGTCGTTGTTTGCTGTTTGTTATATCTGTTTTTCGTCAACTGTTTTGCCATTTCAAATTGGCTGGTTATTTTCTCTCTTTCGTATGAATTGTTTCGACTTTTGTCGGAGCCATTTATAGCTGACTATACGGTATGAGTGTTGATAATTGTCGAAGGTCGTTTGGTGACCTATAGTTGCTTAAATCCGCTTCATTTGGACTGTGTTGGATAGTTGTCTCATTGGCATTTCATGCCATATCTCCTTATTTTATATTGACACATCTTAAAAGAACGAAGTATCTGTGATTATGTTCCGGACCATATGGGCATTTGGACCATACGCGTATGGTCACAATCATATGCGTATACTCATTTGGTTATTAACGGGCCGGACCATACGAGTATTTAGACTATATAGGTATTTTTCGAATAATTCTATCTTTCTTTGCAGGAACACAGCTCATTCTCTGAACAAAAAACGGCACAAGTTACTATCTGAATGCTTTTATCTTTTACATATTGTCTAACTCTTTGTGTATCTGTTATCTTGCATCCGCTAAGAGTCAATTCAAATCGCCTTTACACTTCCGATATTCGTCCGTAAGTGAAACCACATGCGTTTGGGGCATGGATTTTTTTTCTGTTTTCTTATTGTTTAAATATTATTTCAGAAACAAAATTTCTACTTATTTCTACTTATTTTTATTGAATTGATGTGTTCTTGCTCCTATTTATACGATCTTACTGTCATTGTAAGATCGTATGAATAAGAGCAGGAACACATGAACAAATTTAAAAAAAACAATAAGAAATTTTTAAGAAATTATAATTTAATAAAAACAAATTTAAGCACCAAAAGAAATTTTAAAAAGAAAAGAAAGAGGATTCAATAACCAAAGTGCCTGTGAGTTAAGCAATTTACTTATTCTTTAACATAGATATAGGAAGATGTAGTATGAGTGCCAATGAGACAACTCTCCATCCAAGTTACAATTTATAAAAGTAAACCATTATAGGTCAAGGTACGGCCTTCAACACGGAGCATTGGCTCACACCTAACAGCAAGCTATAAAGGGCCCCCAAAAATTACTTGTGTAAAACCATTCAAACGGAAAAACCAACGGTCTAATCTGTATAAAAACGAGAAACGAGAAACACGTATGAACTACATAAACAGACGACAACTACTGTACAGATTCCTGACTTCGGACAGGTGCAAACATTTGCAGCGGGATTAAACGTTTTAATGGTACTAAACCTTCTCTCTTTTCTGAAACAATAGTATAACATCACAACATAGAAAAACACAATTGGAAGGCTTAACTCAATCAAAAAACGTAAATTAACACACAATGAACGAATAAATTTGACCTGTGACACCTGAATGCAAATACACAGTTAATTAAAAAATTACAAGGGATAAATAACAATAAAATTGAGAATGGAAATGGGGAATGTGTCAAAGAGACAACAACCCGACAATAGAACAGACAACAGCAGAAGGTCACCAACAGGTCTTCAATGCAGCGAGAAATTCCCGCACCCGGAGGCGTCCTTCAGCTGGCCCCTAAACAAATATATATACTAGTTCAGTGATAATGAACGCCATACTAAACTCCAAATTGTAAACAAGAAACTACAAGAAAATTAAAAATAATACAAGACTAACAAAGGCTAGAGGCTCCTGACTTGGGACAGGCGCAAAAATGCGGCGGGGTTAAACATGTT